AGCTGCTGTGTGTCCAGCTGCTGCAGGCCCCAGTGCTGCCAGTCTGTGTGCTGCCAGCCCAGCTGCTGCGGGCCCAGCTGCTGTATTTCTAGCTGCTGCCGCCCCTCCTGCTGCCAGACCACCTGCTGCAGGCCCACCTGCTGCAGGCCCAGCTGTTGCATCTCCAGCTGCTGCCACCCCACCTGCTGCCAGACCACCTGCTGCAGACCCCAGTGCTGCCGCCCCAGCTGCTGTGGCTCCAGCTGCTGCCGCCCCTGCTGGTCCTGCTGCCTGCGCCCCGTGTGTGGCCAGGTGTCCTGCCACACCTCTTGCTACCACCCCACCTGCGTCATCTCCACCTGCCCCCGCCCCATGTGCTGCGCCATCCCTTGCTGCTAAATCTTCCCTTTAAATGTATGATCTCCTTATCTCCTCCTCCCCACAGATAGAGACGTTCCTTTGAAAAGATGTGTGGTGCTCAAGGGAATTGATCTCCTGCATCCCCTGAGCAAATCTCATTCCCAGTGCTTCTGTGTGCACATGCTGACATCTGTCCACATCCCCCTGCCTTCCAGATGAATTCACTGAGAATCTTCTATAATTTAACAAATCGCCTCCCCCTTCATTTTTCCCTCTGTCTTCCGGACATCCACTCATCATGCTTAAGGAATTTGAAGATTGTTTCTGTCACTCATAGGGCCACAGACTTTAATGCCTGTGACACCGGAAGCCAATGAAGTATCTCTTTTATAGTCTATTGCAAAATCGTCATGTACCTTCTTATTGCCATAAACCAAATAAACCTACATTCTATTGGCATTGAAAATGGAATAGGATTGCTCTCTTTTTAAAATAAAGGTTTTTTTTTTGTTTTTTTGGTGTTGGTACTGGGGATCGAACTCGGCACCTTGCGCTTGTGAAGCAGGCGGCAGAACCACTGAGCTAAATCCCCAGCCTAAACTAAAGGATTTGTATATGGGTCCTGGGCAATGATATTCCGGCTACACCAGTAGGGGAGACCCCACACATCAGGTGCCTTTCTAACAGAAGTCTACTAACATTGACCACAGAATTGTTTTCTCTAGAAAGTCTTCTACTCTTGGGCAAATCAACTACTCACTTTGTAGTCTTCAGAAATAAAGAATGAGTCTAAAGTTATGGATTATTCACGAATATAGCAATGGGAAAGTTTTAGAAAGATTGAATACAATTCATGATCTTTTAAAATACTCCTTCCCTTTTTTTGCCAATAAAGCAGCCAATGGATGGTTTAGGAAGATCTAAGTATTCGGTCCTCAGAGTCAGGCACAGTGGGTCTTCTTTTCACAGAGATGGTAGAGGGCTGCAGAGGGGCATTCATCCTACCGCCTGGGGGGCCAGCTTTGGGCCGGCTGGTGGCACAGATGAGCCCTGGCAGAAGCTCACAGGGTTGCTGGACACTCTCACTTTTTTCCACACCCTTGTTCCCACTCCAGGGCAGGATGAAAAAGACCACCTCTCCTCTTCTCCGATAGGGATGTCCCTAAGAGGTCATTCCATCTTCCCAGCTCCCGTGGAGTCCGCTGAGAATCTTACTGCGGTGCCTCCCCAGCCGATTCTCCCCATGTCCAACCCTCCTCCCTTTTCCTCCCTCCTCCAAAGGCCATTCCCAAGAACACACCTGATAACCCTCCCACAGGGTCATCTGCATCTAATGGCTGCTTGCTTGGGGTCTCATGCTGTCCTCTAAACCAATTTGAAATTCATAGCAGCTAAGTTGAGAGCCACAATGACCGATGGATGAAATCTGTGCTTAATCTTTCAATACATGATAGAAATAGCAGTGTAAACTGAGTGTGATGCTGTAGGCTTGTAATGCTAGCACTCTGGAAGGCTGAGGCAGGAGGAGCTCAGCCTGGACAATTTATCAACTTAGTAAAACCGTGTCTTCAAAAAAGGAAAGAAGGCAGGAAGGCAGGAAGGAGGGAAGGAAGGAGGGAAGGACAGGCTGTGAGTGCTGCGCTGCTGCCGATCACTATGGCCAGGCCTAACTTGCCTCCTCTGAGAGAGGAGAACAGGAGACAACAGGGTGTGGCGGAGCAAGGCCTGGCCGGGAAGAGGGCTGTCTTCCTTCCCACCCATTCCCCGTGAAACCATCATGCGTGATGATCTGCAGACCTTAGCCTCTCTCCCGGTTCCGGTTACAGACCAGCCCCTTTGACCTCCCCCTGCACTTCCCTCATCTCTACCCCTGTAATAAATGCACTGCACTTGCCTGGCAGTCCTTTTCTCCATCAGGAGCGAGGCTCCACTTGGCCCCAGCTTTGTATCTCTTGGCTCTTTTGAATCTCTTTGATTTTCTTCATCCCTCACCATTTCTCACTCCCTGGACCCTTTAGCCACACGGACCGTGGCAAGGAAGGAAGGCAGGAAGGAAAGAAAGAGAAAGGAAGAAAGAGAGAGAGAGAGAAAAGAAAGAAGGAAAGGCTGGGGACATTGTTCAGTGAAAAAGCCCTAGAGTCTTCCCAGTACCAGAAAGAAAGGAAGGAAGGAGAAAACATTTAACAGAATCTGCCCTGATTATTATAAATTTTATATAAATCACATTTATTATTTTCTGAGGCTCTTTATATCATTACTTATACACAAATATCTGTATATGCATGTATTTGTAATACATTAAAAAATCTAAACAATACAAAAGAATATGGCCAAAAGTAAGTTTTCCTTAATTAATCCCTGCGATCTCATTCAAGGGCTGTTTCTGCGAGCTTTATCCTTACTAAACGCATTTGTACCCCATGTAAACATTCACTTGCAAACCTGGCTTTAGGTGTATCTTGCTCACGCTGACAAGGATTCAAATATTACTCACTGCCCTTCGGCAAATGTTGCTACTTCCCCCATCCAGGCCATTATGGGGTGCATCTGCGATGTCCCCCAAAGCTCCTGTCAGAGGCGTAGTCCTCAATGCAGCCATGTTCAGAAGTGGATCCTTAGGGGGCGACTGGAGGGCCTGACCTCGCTGATGGGTGAATCTTTGATGGACACACAGCTCAATGGGCTGTTAGGGGGTGGTGGATGCTGCAGGAACCTTTCAAGGGGACTCTTTGTCCCTAGCCCTTTCTTTCTATCCCTTTCCTACTTGCTGACTACCACAAGATCAGCTCTTCTGCTGACCCATCCGCTGTGATCTGGCTCACCACAGGCCTAGAAACAATACAGCCGAGGAGCTACAGAGCCAAACCTCTAAAACCGTGAGCAAGAATAAATCTTCCCTCCCTTTGGGCGATTTTCTCCAATACCTTGTCACAAAAGATGGAAACATGACTAGCACATAGGCCAAGTTATTGCTTGGCGAGTTTATTTACATATTTGTATATGTATTGTAAGAATGACAAGCATACTTTTCCCACCATATTTTATGGAGGATTATTGCTCATGTATAAGAGATGTCCTGATTTTTAGTTCATATTTTATTAACCTCTTGGTTGATCCCAATATTCTTCTGATTTTCTAGGACATTGGAAGTTTACAAAGATGGCAGCCAAATGCTTCTAGACTTGGGCCTGTCCCATGGACAAACAATGGAAACCCCATCGCTCACATCTTTCAGGTTTTCTTCCTCTCCTGTCTCATCTCCAATTTGTCACTTGTACCTCCTGGGATCTCCCCTTCAGGGATCTATTTGCACCCAAATCTATGTCTTAGGTTCTACATTGTGTATAATCCAAGCTAAGACAACAGACATTCAGCAAATATCATGGCCGATGTGTAGCCAGCTGGTAATGGTTTTTTTTTTTTCCCATCAATAAAAGAACAACTGAGAAGTCAGGAGGTAGAGGAGAACCAATGCATGCACCTCTTTCTTTCTTGTCCCTGTGTGAATACAGGCAGATGAGTTAAAGACAGTATTCACGGATATCTGTAAACAAGTCTCATTTTACAAACTGAGCCTTAATGTCTACAGCTTTCATAAGTTACTTATTAAGTGACATGTTGTTTACCACATAAATAAAGGTAGTTTTACTCAAATGGAGCTGTGACTCATATGCTTGGAATGTTTCTTTTCTCTGACCATCAAAACATAAACATTTTTACAGGACCAATCCAGGTCCCTCTCTATGTCATCAAAAAGTCTTTATTCACTTCCCAAGCATTTATCACTAGTGTCCTCTGTCCCTGCCTTGTGCTGAGTGCCAAGGTAACAAAAATAAATGTCACAGCTTGTGCCCTCAGGGTATCTGAGTTGCCCCTGGGAGATAGAAGTTAGTGACAGTGTTACACGGGAGTGGGTTACATTAGAAGCCCAGTGCAGGGATTCACAAAAGGGATCATCGATCAGGAGAGATGGCGAGGAGGAAGCACTTCAGCTGGCTCTTGACACATAAGCAGGAGTTTGCAGAGCTGACCAAAAAAGAAGAAAAATGCCAGGAAGATGCAAACTGTGCACGTTTGATTCTTCACACTGTCCTTGGTTCTCAGAGACATAGGAGGCTTACTTTTTGTTTACTCCTGGACATATATTTTGGTTTATTTCAAGTCCTCTGTGCTTCCTTTTACTCGTCACTAAAATAGTAAGGTGAATATCCACCACCTTATAGCATTGCCTTAAAGATAACAAACTAAATAAACACAGTTTTACAGTGCTTGGCACAGAGGGAGCAATTCACAAATGAGACACGCAACTGGAGGGTGCATGGAATTTACCCACATCTGCATTTTGATTTTACTAGTTTAATTAAAATCCTTGTAATTCTTTAATTTTTTGCCAGCTTTTTTCCCCAATGCACATGTGGTGCGTAAGTGGACAGAGGAAGGAGATGGGCTTGTCTGTCACCTCTAGGGCAGCTCGTGGATTGCCGCGGGGATTCATACGTAAAACACTGTGTCTGTGAATGACAACTCAACTCGGCAAGTTTGACAGGAAAAGGAGAATTCAAAGCTCCTTGCACCACTTAACGGCTACCCTGGAAAACATGGTGGAAAAGTGTTTTTATTAATTATGCCAAGCAGTGAGTCATGGCCAAGTGCTTCAGCTGGGGACCCCAGGTGAGATCTGACCATTTAGAGCGAACCTGGGCTGGACCACCCCCTGACCATCACAGGATGGTCGACACCCTCATACGGAGGGGATGTCCTCCCACCAATGCGTCTTTCCTTCTAATTCCTTCCCAACATTTCCCAGACCAGAACATTCAGTGACAGCAATGACAACAAGAACATACATTCGCATTGAGAAAATCATCCTCTGTGATCTCACATGCTTGTTATTATTTACAAATACTGTACAGCTAGGAGGGCATGTCACCCTTGAAGACAAAGTGCCTAAATAATCTGTCCTTGTGTACACAGACCTCTGCCTCAGCCATCAAGAGGATGAAAGCATGCCATTTGCAGGAAAATGGAGCTTGAGACCATAATGTTACACAGAAAGTTAAATATCACATGGCTTCTCTTATATGAGAAAACTAATATATAAATAAATAAAAGAGTAAAACCAAGGAGAGATAGGAAACAAAAAAGCAGACTTTGGCATATGGGGAAGGTGTCACAGGAAGGAGGAGGGGAGAAGGTGTAAAGTGATCAAAAATGGTCCGATTATGTTAAAAATGTACCCATCTCCAGCATGAATGGGACTATCATGAATGGTAAACATACACTCATAAAGAAAAAGGGAAAACAAAATGCCAGAGAGTCATGTGATAAGTACTTCAAAAAAGACCACTGCCTACGCCACTTTTTAAAGTGACACCAAGAAAGAAATATGACAAGTATTTCCATGGGAAACACACAGGAAAAAGAAGACTGTTATTTGCTTTCTTTTGAAGTATTTAACTAGAAACACACTATTAGGTGATTAAATGATTAAGTTTTCCAGGAAGGTAAAAATAACAAGGAAATCATGACATGGTGACAGGAGGCCTTCAGCTGGGTATAAAAGGGGATGTGGGCCAAGAAGGCTTCCAAACCCAAGAGCCTCACTCTCCTGGAACCCCATCCAGCACCTCCAACCTCCGACACCATGGTCAACTCCTGTTGTGGCTCCGTCTGCTCTGAGCAGGGCTGTGGCCAGGAGAGCTGCTGCCAGCCCAGCTGCTGCCAGCCCAGCTGCTGCCAGCCCACGTGCTGCAGGACCACCTGCTGCCGCCCCAGCTGCTGTGTGTCCAGCTGCTGCAGGCCCCAGTGCTGCCAGTCTGTGTGCTGCCAGCCCAGCTGCTGCAGGCCCAGCTGCTGTGTGTCCAGCTGCTGCAGGCCCCAGTGCTGCCAGTCTGTGTGCTGCCAGCCCAGCTGCTGCAGGCC